GCCCACAAGTGTTGCTTAACTGGTGAATTTAATTTTGTGATTGAGCTCCTGTCACCTTAGCGATATTTCACACCAGCTGTAAGCACAGCAATTAGAGTAGGGGCTCTGAGGCTACACCACCTAAGTTGAGTTTATTGTCTCATTTGTAAAATGTGGGTAAGGCTAGCACTATTTATAGCATTGTTTAAAAAAAAAAAGAAACTTAACCTGGAAAGCTTTTAGAATGGTGCCTGACACTATGTTGTGTCAACTGTGAATACCACCACCTGAGCCATTCTCTCTCTAACCGGCCCCTGATTACCTACTCCCAAATTACTAGACTGAGCCTAGCTAAATATCTGAGCCCTTACTAAATGCCAGATATTCTTAAAATATTTGATGCGTATTTTCTTCTTTAATCCACACAACCTGGGGCAAATTACTTTTAATCTCTTAATAGGCAAGAAAATGGATATGACCTTATTAAGGTCATACAGCTGAACCCAAGCGGTATTGCAGACCTATCCCTGTCCTAACCATTACTCCCCACTACTTCGTCCATTAACAGAAAAGTTAATCATAAAAATCCTAGATTTTCAATTGTACAATTGTATCCTCCATATAATCCCAATTTTACAGATGAAGTACGCCGCAGCCCAGTGAGTTAAGGGACTTCTCAATAGTGTTTCATTCACTACAGGCAAAATCACTTCCCCATCTTTATGTGGAAATTGGGTAATATTGAATCAGATTCTTAGATTACCAGTTTTTAGGAAAGGATTCCAAGGTTCCTAATTTGGACTGGCAATGCAGCATAGTGAAATCAGAAAACACTTAAAACATCTTATTCCAGCTGCCTTTTAATGAAATCTGAGTGTTTTAGAGCCAAGACACCTCCGATCAACTCCTCTCACCTCTCATTTTAGAAACGAAGCATTACCTTTGTATACAGACATTAAATGTAAGTAATAGAGCTTTAGGATTTCCAAGGCTTTATAAACTCATTTTAACCCTTTATAGCAGCAGCTGTGGATGACAAAGTCCCTACCCATGAAGAGTAAGAAACTGTTCAGATAGAAGTTATTAAACTCTTCTAACTGGGGCCTTTGGCAGTAAGTTAGTATAAAGACTCCAGATTTTAAAAACTCTTAAGGATAGATTTCCTTTTTAAAATCATTTTAAAATACACTTAGTAAATCTAATTAAAATGGCAGCAAAAAAAAAATACTTTTACCTGAATCACTGATCTCGTTTCTTTTGTTGATCAAGTTACTGATACACCTTTATTTAAAAATTTTTAGTTTATTTTTGAGAGAGACACACAATGCAAGAGGGGGGAGGTGCAGAGAGAGACACAATCTGAAAGAGGATCCAGGCTCTGAGCTGTCAGCACAGCCCAAAGCGGGCTCAAACTCCAGAACCATAAGATCATGACCTGAGCCAAAGTCGGACCCTTAACCAACTGAGCCACCCAGGCACCCTTCTGATATACCTTTATATGTGATCATCTTAGGATTTGTGGGGCATGGTTCTTTGATATTATATAGGAAATTCCAGAGCCAGGTGGTATAATATTGAGTGTTTATTCAAGACTATAGTAAGTAGAACATAGTTACAAATAGTCCCATAGAGGACTCACAAATATTTTAAATTTAGCATGTGGACTTGACTTTCACGGTGCATAAGGAGAAAGAGGAACTATTTATCTGTAACATAATGTGAAAGAGAATTTTACCTTTGCAAGTACTTTTACATTAAAGAAAATGTCCTTAAATATTTAGTTTAGTATACTAAGAGTAGGGAAAAAAAAAAAAGGTTTCCTTTATAAAAGTCTCAAGAATTCCTGTGGTTTTTTTTTCCTTTAGATAAAACTGACTTAATAGATGATGGTAAGGGATCATTTCAAAATACTTGTATTTTTTTTTCATTAAATTCCCCCAAAATGTCTTTTTTAGTCTCAAATACTTATTCCATTTGACTGATAACATTTTTCATGTTAAACATTACATGCTTGTCCTCTTTAAACATTTAAAACAACTAGGACAAAATATTAAGACGTTTTGTCATTCATTACTAAAGTTTCAAGTTGACATAGAAGTCAATTTACACACCTTTATCTTACAAATTAATAGCGAATAAAACAAGGTACGTTCTGTATAACCTATGAATGTAACGAGAAAAGGTACATTTACAGCAATAAAGTCTTTACCATTTTAATTTAATTTACATAGGCAAAGAAAACAATTCCAATACTTCAGTATTTGCGAAAGATGATCCATGGCCCCTGAGGATATGTATGTGTGGACACACAACTCCTACATCTACATAGGTATATATGTCTATATGTATATAATCTGTTATGACTGAGAAGATCACATACAACCATAAAATATGATAAAAGCATTGTGAAAAATACTAAATGAATAAAAGATAAACCATAGATTGCAGAGAAGGGGTAGATTAAGACTTAAAGGTGAAAGTAAGATTTGTTCTGAGCCCTAAAAGACAGCTGTAATTGTGAATTAAGATTTCTAAAGGCCCATGCTCACCAACTCTTCAGAAGTAAAAAAATAGGAAACGATAGTGGAAGGGGGAGTAGAGGAATCTACATAGAGAACCTTATATGCCTGTAAAATTGAACTCTATCCTGGAATTGCCAATAAACCATGAATGAAATTTTAAATTAAGTGATCAAAACAGTCCCTTAAGGTCAAAAGGTAGCTATGCAGGCAATACTGGATAAAGAAGCTGAAGTCATAACCACAATGGTTTAGCAGAAAAGATAGATCTGAGATATTTTTTATACTACTGGCATATAAAGAAAGGACAGAAAAGAATGCCAAAACTCCCAACTTATCACAGGTCTGACTTAATAATGTGGTTTTTGTAAACCCATACTGTTCCAGAGATATTTTGTTCTTTTGATTCTCAGTAATTAAGGACCTCTGACCCTTAATGGTGAACTTGAGTTTCCTTATTAGTTAACCTCTAAAGCAGTACATATGTAATAACGTACCTGCTTTTTTAAAGTACCCCAAGGCTAAATGTGACTCTACCCCCTAGCAGTAGTTCTCAATCTTTTTATTGAGCCTAAGAATTACCAGGGAAGCATATTCAAAATGTAGATTCTTAATCCCCATTTAAGACCTACAGACCGACCCTCCAGTTTTTAGGTTCTCAGATGATTCCTTGAGTCCATCTTAGACAAGTCATTTAAGCTCCCTACCTTCAGTATCTTTGTAAAATAGGTATAATAATCTCTATCTTACAGTTAAGAGTTATGACAATTAAATGAAACAATATGTATTATGTCTAGGAATGGCCCTGACACCTTGTAGATGCTAATATGATAGGCCTACCTCCAACCTACCATGTTAATTTTGGATTTACAGGTTAGTGCATTTTCTTAGGGCACACTATAGAAGAGTTTCCCAGTAGACCTACAGTCACTGATTGTTGTATTAATAAAAGAATATAGCACCTTAGAAGCTAGCTGTCCTTCCTCTTTCTTTTCCACAGCAAATAAGGCAGTTATATATGATTTTCTTCTGTCTTTTCTCACAAAAAGACTGGCCTTCAAACTGGGGTCAAACAACTGAGAAAAGGCCAGAGTGAAGAAAGATGAACAATTAAGCCCATCTACTTCCAGAACTCCCCACTTCAACTTAATCTCCTCTCCTCTACAGTTTCTTGACAAATGAACAAGGTTTTAATGCTTAAGAGTTGGGGCTAGACAGGGTACCGTTAAGTGCTATCACCTTTCCAGTGCGTGCTCATTCCTCCTGGTTCACAGAAGTCAATGGCATACATACACTTGGATGGTAGAGATAAGCCATTTTCCCAGCCAGAGGGCATGACAGAGTTGAGGGAGGTTACTGAACCAGTGGCCACACATCTGATTCCCCACTCAGTCCAGAAGATCAACAGGCCAACCCCTGTTGCCATATTGTTTATCCTGGCCTTTTAGTTATTTCCAGAAGGTCTTGTAGTATATTAAGGAAAGAAAATAGGGTCAAATCCTAGCTTCACCACCAACTTAACTGTGTAACTAAGCAAGTACCCCAAATTCAGTTTTCTCAAGTTATTTTGAGGTTATTCATAGGCAGTGGGAAACTGATGGTTTTTGAGAAGTAACACAATCAAAATTAGCTCCTTTCCCTAAAAACCATGCCCCCCACAAATAAACCAACAATAAACAGAGACTAATAAATTTTTTTAATTTACATCTTTTGTTAAAATATAAAACTAGGGGTTAAATTCTCAAAGTCTAAATTAGACTAAATATAAATCTGCTGCAAACCCATTGAATGGATTTATAGTGTGACAGTGTTCCTTAAAAGTGTCTAGTCGTCTTCCATCATTTTCCATTTATCTAAATTCATTCTGCCCCAGTCTTCACTTATCATCACATACATTTTATTCCATCAAACATTTTCCAGGACAAACCTACTTAAATAATCACTAAGCCTGCTTAGAGCTTTCCCAAACTTAAATTTTCCTCACCTTGACTACACATCCCAAGGCACTACTTTTCTCACTTTTTTTGGTTAGTACTATAATGTTCCATAAAGAAACAATAAAAGCTCTCTATTTCCCTAAAATGAAAGGTCAGTATATTCAATGGCTATTATGTTAACCACTTAATACAAGTATATCAAAAACCACTCATGTGTATGTTAATCAACTGAAATTATAACATAATAAATTAAACTACTATTTGCTATTTACTTAACGCTTACAAATTATTCAAGGAATCAAAATGGTTTCATATAACTTGAGGTCTGCTTCCCTTCACAAATACTTCACATTTAAACCCCATATCCATACAAAGAGAAAATCCAAAGATCTCTTTACCTAAAAACTAATGTTTGCTAAAAGGCATTATTTAGGATTTTCAGGCCTTGAAAGAAGAGTTACACTTCCAACGTGTATTTAAATTATAAACCAGTTTTGATCCTGTGACACTGCTTGAAATGTAAGTACATCATAGTTGAATTAACTGGGCTTCTGCTTTCATCTTTTCAAGTCTGATGGAGATTTGTTTCATCAAGGCTCTTATTCAAGACTTCTTCTTCTGCAAAATTGATTTTAAAAACAGAAAATGGTAAGTAAACATTCATTACAAAGAAAAAATTAAATAGGACAGATTCTAAGTAATGGCAAATTTCAGTCTTCTTAAATAAAAAGTTCACATGCAATACCTATGATGAAAATTAACATTCTCACTGCGATACCTTTCCTCAGAGTATCAATATATCCCTCTAAGAATACTTTTCAATATACGAGTGTTTAATTATCATTGGCAAACACAGTGATGTCTAATGACTCTATATCACCGGATCTACATTTGCTCTAACATGCTTTAAGATTAGGGTTGTTTTTCTTTTTAAATCTTTATGATGACACTTTTTTTTTTTTAAGTTTATTTATTTTGAGAAAGAGAGAGCAAGAGAGCACTCAGGAAGGAGAGGGGCAGAGAGACAGGGAGAGAGAGAATATCCAAGCAGGCTCTGCACTGTCAGCACAGAGCCCGGCGCAAGGCTCAAACAATAAAGCATGAGGTCATGACCTGAGCTGAGATCAAGAGTCGGACATTTAACCGACTAAGCCACCCAGGTGCCCCAATGATGACAATTTTCGAATATACAAAAGTCAAGAGAATTATGATTAGTCCAGCTTCAATTATTATTAGTGCTGTTATGGGTTGAACTGTGTCCCCCCAAAATATGAAGTTCTAACCCCAATACCTCAGAACATGGTCTTATTTGGGAAGAGGGTCAATAAAGATATAATCAGTTAGGAAGAGGTCATTCTGGAGTAGGGTGGGCCATTAATCTATATGACTTGTGTCCTTATGAAGAAGGCAAAGAGACACACAAGAGGAGAAAGCCATGTGAAGATGGAGACAGAGATTAGAGCTGTACTACCATAAAACAAGGGACCCTTGGGGCTACCAAAAGCTGGGAGAGGCAAGAAGGATCTTCCTCTAATGGCTGTAGAGGGACTGTGGCCCTGCCAACCCCTTGATTCTGGATTCTAGCTTCCAGAACTTACTGTCTCCAGAGATAATAAATTTCTGTTGTTTGAAGCTACCTAGTTTGTGGTACTTTGTATGGCAGCCCCAGGAAACTAATATACTAACCTATCCTATTTTGTCACCCATCCCCCTCAAATTTATTTCAAAGCAATCACTGATATCTTATTATTACAAGAATGATATTTAACATAGTTGTTACTCAACATTTTTAATTTTTTTTTTATTTATTTAAGTAATCTCTACATCCAACATGGGGCTTGAACTCACAACCCCAAGATCAAGAATCACATGCTCTTCCAGCTGAGCCAGCCAGGTGCCCCCATTACTCAACATTTTTAGAACCATCCTCCACCAGCCAAGATTTTGACAAAATTTCTTTGTATTATAAAAGCAACTGGTTTGGTTTCATTTTCCACCCCTGTCCCACACTTACTGTAAACTATATACACATCACTTGAGATTGAGAAAGAAAGAACAGAAGTGATACGTTCCCTCTTCTCATCCAAGTCGAAGGAACAGAGAGCATATTTTGTCACATTCACAATAAAGGTCCTGTAGCATTCACTGCATACTACTGTTAGAAGTTGAAAGAAAACGTCAATAAGTCAATATGCACTGGTCTAGTTAAATCTTACCTTTTAAGTTAGGTAGAAGTTCTCCAAAACTACATGGTACTGTGGTTCTCAATCTTTGTTCCACTGGAGAAAACTTAATTAGTGGTGAAAGAGACTGTTTCCTTTCACCAAGGGACATGCGTAAAGACGGTTTTGTATAGTCAGTGTGCAAATCATGACTGTTCAAAAAGTCAAGCATATCATCTGTTTGCATGTTTCTGGGAGTAGGGCTCAATTCTGGTTTGTGTCTTTCAAGTGTTTCAGGATTGGAAAAGTCAGTTTCTTCTCTTTTCTTGGACAGAGATTTTTTCAGAGCTTCATATCTACGGCAAATAGCCTGTAAGTTAAAGTCTGATTCTGGAGTAGTCGGTCTTTCTCCCACAACATCCTCGGGAAAAATGCCACTGTGCACAGGACTATCTGGTTCCAGTTTAAAATTGGCCTCTGTACTAGTGGAGCTATTAAGACTTAAGTGACCAACTTCTTCTGGAAGAGTTTCATGTAATATGCCAAAATCAATATCCTTTAAACTTGTGGAACTAATTCCACTTGATACTTGAAAAGAGTCCCATAACATACTTTTATGCACGAAAGGTTCTTTGTAAGAAGCTTTTGAGTGGTCTGCTATTTTAACATGTTCCTCTTCACTGCTGCCCATCACAACTCTCCTATTACCTACAGCAGGGGAGAATGTCTCTGTTTGGCTAGTTTCTAAAAGCCTGTTCTGTAACGCTGCACACTCCAAACCTTGCTTGTCCATTATTTTCTTGTTTAACACATCTGACTGATGTTGTGTTGACAGTCCACCAATGTGACTGGTCCCCGCATGTTTCTGAGGCACACACTTGAGGCAATCGGAAACAACTTTCTCTTCAGGCAAATGGAAGTGGCTAGAATCGGATACAGAGGTTGCTGAGAGAAAACTGGTCCTGCTAAATTCTCTTTGATTTTGCAACACAGGTAAGGATTCTGGTGATATTTCTCTATCTTCGGTATCCATCTGTATTAGTTCTGTACTTCTGTTACCTTCCATTTCCACAGCTTTTCTCCATGAGCTCCTAATTTCGCTTACTAATTAAATGAAAGGGGAAAGAACACAATTTACTAATAGTCCCAAACAGAGCATGCAATTAAAAATTTCATTTCTAGTGGTCAATATAAACCTACTGACTACACTATATGTTCCACAGATATGCCCACTGGATGACAAGACTCCACAACAAACCAAAGAACAATAACATCAAAGAATTCCTTCTCCAACTGATCACACATAAATAACAAAAACTGTCCCTGAAATGTGCATATATTTGCACACAGCACATAGAAATTATATACATTAAAAAGATTTTCTGGGATGCCTGGGTGGCTCAGTCAGTTAAGTGTCCAACTCCTCATTTCGGCCCAGGTCATGATCTCACAGCTCGGGAGGTCGGGCTCTGCACTGACAGAGGGGAGCCTGCTTGGGATTCTCTCTCCCTCTTTCTCTCTGCCCCTCTCCCTCTCACACATGTGCACGCTCTCTCTCAAAATAAATAAACTTTAAATAAATAAAATAAACTTTAAAATAAAATAAAATAAAACTTTAAATAAATAAAAATAAAAAGATATTTTCTTGTCCATCTAAGCCAGGGTTCAGCAAATTTTTTCTGAAAAGGGCAGATAGAGAAAAAAAAAATGAAAAGGGCAGATAGTAATATTTTAGCCTTTGCAGGCCATCGGTCTGTGGCAACTACTCAATTCTGCCACTATAACATGAAAGTAACCATAAACAATATGGTGACAAATCCGCAAGGCTGTGTTCAATGTAACTTTATTTACAAAAACACACAGGGCAAGCTAGATTTGGTTCACAGGCTGTAGTTTGCTGACCACTGATCTAGGCTGTGGCTAGGTTCAACCTGAACTGAATCAAGTTAACTTTGAATATGTCATTTCTAGCAGCAAAATGGAAATTTTATTTAATTCAACTAGGATGATGTGCCTTCATATGGACAACAATATCAGAATTTTGCCAACACAGATTATAGGTTATAAGAAAAAAGTATTGGGCAGTCTAGCTAGCTTGGAAGGGGTAGAAAAGATTTCTATACACACTATTTTTGGCTGATGCTGCTGACTGGAAGGACTTAGCCTATATACTCTATAAATGTTGATCGCAGGTCAGATGTGGAGGGAGAGGGTGTTTTAAAAATGCTCAACTTTTTTCCAGGAAAGAGCTAAGTAAAACAACAAAAGCAAAACTGTAGAGTATCAGGGCATCATAATACTGCTTACAAATTGCCGTATCAGTGAGAACACCCACACTTAATACTTCAATAAAAGTCCCTTACATCAAAACAAATTAAGAGCCATTGCCACTAAACTGAAAGATACAGAAAAATTTTATTTGTTTCTCCCTACCCCCTAGAAAAGAAAGTTAAAGTGAGTTTCTAGATTATATGTTAGACCTGGTTCTAACAGTAATGTCTGAGAAAGAAAATAAGTGACAGAAATCATTATAACTTACTCAAATTTTCTGGCGTTCGGGGAATTTGGTTCCTTGTTAAGAATGGGTTAGAAACTAGAGTATCAATTAGTTCCTGTAATTTTAGTTCTTTTCCTTTAGAGGGCTGTGGTGAGTCAGATAAAACTGCCCTTGCAACCTAAAACAGAAAAAGTAAAGCAAAAATTACCACAGTCACTGGTAGAATGCAACAAAAGCCCTGATGAGAACAAATCAGCACCTGATGGTTAGCAACCCCTCCAAGAGCAGTTGGCATGAAAAGCCACTCAAAAACGTAGCTCCCAAATCCTCTATATAGTCTGCTAGGCACGACCCTATAAGGTGAAACCAAATACAAAACTGTTTCCTCCCTCCTTAACTGGATATCCCATATAAAGGAAAGAAAAAGTAAAAATCTTTATACCTGAGAAGACTTAGAGGTAATTCTAACTACACAGTGACCTAAGCTACTATCTGCCACATCTTTGAACTTGACAATTCTGTATTTGCCAAAATAACTAGGTTTAAAGCAAGCAGATTTTTCTTATTTATAATCCATTTGCCCAATAACACTTCTACTAACAAATAAAATACTCCCAGACAATATACTTCTTTGCCAGAAACCTCATTACCAGACATAAACTAGTAAACAAGGCATAGAAATACATTCTGAAATAGAGAAAAGAAAGTATACAGTATGAAAACAGAACTCTAGGGGATTTACTACTAAGCATAGTTTTCGTCCTTCTACTTTGTATATATTTCAAAAGTGATCAAATGCATCATTGCTCATGATGTCGGTTTTTCCTGACAAGAGACTTTTCGCTGGCAAGTGAAATGCTACTATTGCTCAGCAGTAATACTGTACTATTTACTGCAGAAAGTTTATGCAAATGCTCAAGTCATTCTCTAATGTTATTTTTATTACGTTTCCCACAACATCCCTTAGCACTGTTTGAATTTGATTAAGCAGCCAGAAAATAATCAGCTACTTTATATTTCTGGAGACTGTGAGAAAAATTTGGTTTGGTGCATATTGATTCAGGTATTGGAATTCCGTCCTTTATCTCAATCTTGATGCATTTAATTACTTTTTAAATATCTAGAAAGTAGAAAGACAAAAACTATGCTTAGAGATAATAATGATACTGCATAGTCTTTGTTCTAATATTTAAAAAAAGAGGAAGCTTGGCTAAGCAACAGACATTTAGATTACCTTAATAGAATATAATCATTGGGTGTATTTATCTAACAATTTACGTAATGATTGATTCCAAAAACATCACACATGTATTATTTTTCTACTTTTAGAGATATTTATAGACTGGGACATGGGTTCTCAACCACGGATATAATCCTACTAAGTTTATATCTACATCTACTTTTTGGGAGGACCAATTTGCTTTAAACATGATTTTCATTATCTGTGCCTTCCTTTCCCAAATTAACCCCAGTTAATCAATAATTATAACTTCTTTTACAATCTCAACGCCAATGAGAAAATAATAGATATTTCAGTACACACATTACAATCTTTTTCTAACCTCTTCTACCATATGATCCTGCTCTTTTTGGAATGGATCACTATTTTTAGCTGGCAGAGACCCTGCAAATGCAGTATTCTCTGTATTTCTTGCAGTATTTGATGATGAAGAGCCTTCCATTTCAAATTTTGGTGTTTCCTTAGGAGGTGTTTCATTTCCTTCTCTAGGAGTTCTTATCTTCATGTCCTGAAGAAAACAGACATGGAATAATAATAATTATGGCTGATCTTCATTAGAGGTTCTTGAGTTATCATGGTCAGTGGCACAATTAAAAAATTTCAATATTCCCACTTAGAAGCAATAGGAAATGTGTAAATACAAATTGGGATATCAACAAAAATAATATTTTATCATAAGTTAGTACAGCCAAAATTACTTAAAAATTGTTTTAAAATATACCTTTTCAAGCAGTCTAACACTGTTTCTACCCGATGATGAAACTGGCTGCAACAGGAAAGAAGCAGGTCTAAAGGAAAAAAGGATATCAAATCCAAGTTATACACAGGAAAGAATTCCATTCACTAGCTATATCTGAATAATCTACAGAAATTGTCTGCCCCGTATCTGTCCGTTACGATTTCCCTCAATTCGTCCCGGTCATCAAAAGGCAGTTTATTCTAGGGAGGTACAGTGACAATCAGAGCAGTACTTCAGCCCCATTTGTGTATCAGCCTCCCAAATGGTGAACATCTTCCTTAACCACTATGTATTTTAAATCAACATTTTTTACAAGGTTGAATGACTTGATGAACACTCAAAAACTTGAGAACACGGTATAAACAAATTCAACTAACTAGAACCGCATTATTACATTACCTTTAGGCTTCAGATTACAGAATTTCATTGTACCAGAGACTTTGTGATTTTGATACTTTGTGTCCAAAATCAATTCCTCTTATGCTGACTCTTGCTCTATAGCATGTATGTTAGTTATAGTAAAGTCATAAGGTTAATCAGTTTGTTTGCTGGATTCTACATATAGCATTCCTTACTATCTTAGATTCTCTTGCCCCTTTGGACAAAATAAAACCTTACACATCAATTACGAAACAAGTTATTAAGTTTTTAAAGCCTTCAAAGCAATTATAACTTGATCTTGAAAGAACTTTCAAAGTCAATCATGGGTATGCTCACTGGTCAAAGCTTTTCTACTCTAATACAAAAGGCAAGATGATCTGAGAGGCCACTTTCAACCTCAAGCATGTCGGTGCTTTGCTTTCTGTTCATGGCTAGTACAAAATTAACAGCTTTAAAACATTTTATGTAACAGCAAATACGCTTTTTCAAACTTTTTCAACTATGTGCTTCTTAGAATTGTTATCTACCTTCCAAACATAATTCAAGATCACTGAAACTGTTTAAGGCTCAATTTTGCCTCAACAGGATATAATCTAGATGTCAAAGGAAAAACTAATCATCTACGATGATTTTATCTAAATTTTCCTAAAACTTTAACATTAAAATGATCAAAAAGCCCTCTGAGGCAGGACCAGCGATCTAAGATGCCACTAAGACGCCACCACGAGATTGTGAGCTCCTGGGGGACAAAGACTATGTCTTTCCAAAGGTTATTCCCACAAACTGGTACTTGGCAGTACAATACATGTTTGTAACTAATTGATGGATTGACTGAATCAATGAATAAATGTCACCTGAGCAAGAGGCTCTATAGATTTATGCCACCAAATTTTATTTGGATCATTCTTACAGAGCCTCATTAAAAAACAAAATGGACACCTATTCTCTAGCTTCTCTCTCATTTCTGAATTAGCAACATGCAATCAGCCCTACTAACATCTCAATCCAAGCCAACCTGAAAGCAGCCCTGGCTCAATCCTTACTCTCTATCTACCTGCCATGCCAAAACTGAGGCCCATAAAATCCTAGGACTGTAATAGATAAAGAGAGATGGTGTTGATCCCACTGCGGGATTCTATCCTAAGGAAAGAGTATTTCCAAAAGAAAATAAGAAACAACATGCTTTTTACAGTAAAAAAAAATTTAAGGAAAATCTGAAAGTCTAAAAATAAATGAGGGGTGCCTGGGTGGTTCAGTCAGTTAAGCATCCGACTTCAGCTCAGGTCATGATCTCACAGTCCATGAGTTCGAGCCCCGCGTCAGGCTCTGTGCTGATAGCCCAGAGCCTGGAGCCTGCTTCAGATTTTCTCTCTCTCTCTCTCTCTCTCTCTCTCTGCCCTTCCCCTGCTCGCACTGTCTCTTTCAAAAATAAACATTAAAAAAATTTTTTTAAATAAATGAAATGTTACAAAGCGTTTATAAGTGAAAAATGGTAATATAAAGAAAACATATATACATATACTAAAAAACTATACTTATATTAGTGTTTAGAAAATTTTGATTAGAATTAAATTTATGTAAGTTTGTAAATAAACCTCAAAAAACAACCTGGGAAGAAAGTCTGACAAGTAATTTGTTAGAAATTTTAGCTAATTGGAGCGCCTGGGTGACTCGGGTAAGCATCCAACTTCAGCTCAGGTCATGATCGTGCGGTTCTTGAGTTAAAGCCCAGCACTGGGCTCGCTGCTGTCAGCACAGAGCCTGCTTCTCATCCTCTGTCTCCCTCTCTCTGCCCCTCCCTCACTCACTCTCTCTCTCTCTCTCAAAAATAAACATTTTTTTAAAAAAGAAATTTCAGTTAATTATTTCTCATTTTTATTTTGTTGTTATGATGTATCTACAATTAAAGAAATAACAAACAGAAATTATAAAAAGAGAAAGGAAATTAGAATTCGGTTTCCAAGACTAAAGATATTTAGATGGCATTCAGGCAAGATCGTACTGCCCCATCTCTGAAATGCAATAAAGGAGAAACTGAAGAGGTTAAAGGTCTAGGTCTAAAAGTGCATCACAACACTAGAAATATTATCGAACCCTCCCTTCCAGAAACCACTGCAAAGAAAGGTAGTGTCCACAATTACAGTGAAGGTATCACCAATCAATGGATTCTGGGTTTAAGTATAGTGAAGCCTCCATCAGCTCACTCTGATCAAAAACAACCATGAGATTTATGGAGAACATTACTTATATTTTGGTACCTGTGGGTGACAACCACATGTGAAGGGGCTAATAACTTACGCTAAAAACTACATTCTTTCCACGCTTTTTAATGGAATAGTTGTACTGTTCATATCCACATATGAATTTCCAATTAACTACTGTGATACTGACCTAAGATGCCACTACAAACAACAGCTGAATTTCACGTAAAAAAAGGGTATTATTAGGGGTGACTGGCTGGCTCAGTCTGTGGAGTGTGCAGCTCTTGCTCTCAGGGTTGTGAGTTCAAGACCCATGTGGGGTGTGGATATTACTTAGAAAAATAAAATAAAATTGTAAAAAACAGGGGGTATTATTTTCTTTAAGTACAGTCCACCTACATTACACATTACTAATGAAACATTTTATTTCAAAACACCTTTACAGTAAAGAATTCTAAGCAATAAGCTTATTTACAAATGACTCAACTCTTCACCTTTCTTCTGTTCTGCTATCAGGCAGTAATAATCATTCATATACTATTAAGCATTTATCCCTCACCACCAAAAGCCTCCCCTTACACTTCCCTTCAATATCCCAAACCCTCTATTACAATTAAGTATCCCAAAGGGCACCTGGGTGGCTCAGTCAGTTAAATGACCAACTTCAAGTCAGGTCACAATCTCACAGTTCATGGTTCAAGCCCCACATGGGGCTCTGTGTTGACAGCTCAGAGCCTAGAAACTCTTTCAGATTCTGTGTCTCCCTCTCTCTCTGCCCCTTCCCGACTCACACTGTCTCTCTAAAATAAATATAACAGTTTTTAAAAAAATTAAAGGAGCACCTGGGTGGCTCAATCAGTTAAGCATCCGACCTCGGCTCAGGTCATGAACTCGGGGTTCGTGAGTTCGAGCCCTGCATCGGGCTCTGTGCTGACAGCTCAGAGCCTGGAGCCTGCTTCAGATTCTGTGTCTCCCTCTCTCTCTCTGCATCTCCCCTGCTCATGCTCTGTCTGTCTCTCTCAAAAATAAACATTAAAAAAAAAAAAAGTTAAGTATCAAAGATGAGCTTGGGGAGCCTTGGTGGCTCAGCTGGTTGAGCATCCAGTTCTTGATTTCAGCTCAGGTCACGACCTCCACGTTAGACTCCATGCTGAGCGTGGAGCATGCTTAAGATTCTCTCTCCCTCTGCCCCTCTGCCCTGCTTACTCTCTCTAAAAAAAATAAAAATAAAATAAAATTTAAAGAGATGAGCATGGAAGAGGATAAATCGGGAAATCAAAGTGTATTTAGGGGTTCCTGGGTGGCTCAGCTGGTTAAGCATCCAACTCCTGATCTCAGCTCAGGTCATGATCTCAGTTTCGTGGGTTCAAGCCCCACATCAGGCTCTACACTGGGGATTCTCTCTCTCTCTCTGCCGTTCCACTGTTCGCGTGCTCTCTCTCTCTCTCTCTCAAAATAAACATTTTTTTGTTTAAGTGTATTTAATACAATCTCTTTTCCTATACTAAGTGATTTCCATCTAAACTAAATTCTTAGGAGCTAAGTGTCTGGCTCTTGTAGAATTCTGATAGTGTATCTTAGTATTAAATTCTACTTCAAGAAAGAATCTTGAGGGATGCATACATGGTTCAATCGGTTGTGCATCCAACTCTTGCTTTTGGCTCAGGTCATGATCTCATGGCCATGGGATCAAGCCCCGCTGGAATATGTTTAGGATTCTCTCTCAGAGCACCTGGGTGGTTCAGCCAATTAAGCATCTGACTTCAGCTCAGGTCATGATCTCACAGCTCGTGGGTTCAAGCTCTACATTGACCTCTGCGCTGACAGCATAGAGCCTGCTTCAGATCCTCTGTCTCTCTCTGTCTCTCTCTCTCACTCTCTGCCTCTCCCCAGCTCGTGCACACATGCTCTCTCTCTCTCAAAAATAAAAATAAAACATTAAAAAAGAAAAAAGATTCCCACTCTCTCCTTCTGCCCCTCCACTGCTCATGAAGTGCACGTGCGCTCTCCAAAAAAAAAAAGAATCTTGAAGTTCAATGAATTCAATGGAGTTCATAAATAAAATCCTATCTATGAATCAATCTACTAACTCCATCAATCTTTATTTAGCCCCTTAAGGTCCCAGCAAGTGACCTTAATCAAATATTTCATTTGCTCTCTCAAGGAAAGAGAAACCAAAAACATAATTGAGATTGGGAAGCATCAACTATTCCCCTCTAGCATTCTTGAAGAACAGTGATAAGGGAGTAAAATAGAGAAGCCCAATAACTTCACTATCTCTTCAATGTCAAATCTCTACAATAGTTTGCACTATTTTTCTTAAGGTACTCCAAGAATCAACATCATATCCAGATCTAAGAATAAAAAAATAAATCTTCCACAAGAAATCCTGACCTCCTGTGAATCAGGAAATTACTGCCAAGCAAACTGCCAATAGCTCTATTTCACATATAATCTGACTCTTGTTACGGTGTTTCGGTTTATTAACTTATTAAAAGTATACAGAATGAAGAAGGCTTCAATTAACATGTAAGTTTTGACTCTTGTTATGGTGTTTCAACTATTAACTTAGAGTTATACAGAATGAAGAAGAAGTTATACAGAATTAACTTAGAGTTCATACAGAATGAAGAGAGCTTCAATTCATTTAAAATTTAGAATTTTCTTTTAGAATTATCCTAAGTAACTTGTTTCCATAACTGTGCCTCAATTATATGGGGAAACTGGACTGAAAGACCCCTATTTAGATCAAAGGGTAGTCAGAAAACAAAAAACTTTAATATAACAAACCAGCTGAGTAAGTCTGTGTTTGATTGCCACTTAATAACACTTAGTGTCAATAAAGATTAAATATATTCCCCAGGTAGACTACATACATTTAGAAATTTTTGCTTATATAATTTGGCATCTGTTTTAAGAGCCAAAATGGGATAACAAAGAAAACAGGCAATAAAAAAAATTAAGAATACTCCTGAAGGATGTTCTAATAAACAACAGTTTAGTTTTCTTCACATGTTAAATTTTGGGATTAGAGTGAATCAGAAGTCTTCTCTTTTTTGTTTTGTTTTGTTTTGTTTTGAGAGAGAGACAGAAAGCAAGGGAGAGGGACAAAGGGAGAGAGAGAATCTTTTTTCTTTCTTTCTTTTTTTTTTTTTAATGTTTATTTGTTTTTGAGAGAGACAGAGACAGAGCACAAGAGGGGAAGGGCAGAGAGAGATAGAGGGAGACACAGAACCCAAAGCAGGCTCCAGGCTCTGAAGAGCTCAACACAGCGCTTGATTCATGAACCTTGAGATTATGACTTCAGCCAAAGTTGGACATTCAAC